ATTGTACATACTTATTGTATATGGTTTTTCTTGTGCTAGTTGTAGCCTTCTTTTTGTATTAGACAAAAAAAGGAAATTGTGGTGGTATATTACTTATGATTTATTAAAGCTTGTCTGAGGTTACAGAGAACAAAGCCAGCCACACTAATTAGCTATGGAAGCCAGGCAGTGGTGGTACACACCTTTAATCCCACAACTTGGGAGGTAGAGGTAGATGGATCTCTGTTAGCTCAAGGCCACAATGAGCTACACAAAATTGAGTCTAGATTTTGGTCGCTCTCTTCTCCATAAATGACTTGAGGGAAGAGAGGAGGCCCTGATGCAGACTGTGGAGGTCCTGGTAGTTGGAATGGGAATGTCCCCCATAGGCTTACATGTTTGAACGTTTGTTTCCTAGGTGGTAGCACTGTTTGGGGGAGGTTTAGGGAGGGTGGCCATGCTGGAGGAAGTGGGTCATTGGGGGTGGGCTTCTGATAGTAAAAATACTTTGCTTACTTCCCGTTTTCTCTCTTTGTTTCATGCTCGTGGTCCAAGATGTGAGCTCTCAGCTTCCTAGCTAACGACCTTTAGCACTAATCACATTTCCACTCCCCATTCCCTGTATGTGGAATCGACACCAGGCACAGAGGACAGTTTTGCTTGACTGTGCTCTCTACATACAGGGCCTCATACTGCAAACGTCCTGTTCCAACTAATTTTCTTCCTTCAACAATAGGAATGTTTTTGTTTTAGTCATGAATGTTGTGTTCATTTTACTGTGGCATTAGAGAAAAAAATGTAACCCCCAAGACCATGACTTCATGAATATTATCGCTAAGATTACATCCTTTTAGTAAGGCGAAGAATTGATTGAAACAAAAATAGCAAGTAATTAATGCAGATGGAAAGAGTATACAGCTCCTTTCCTCTAAAAATTTCCAGTGAAGTTGTAATATGAATGGCTGAAGCTCAAGACATATTATGTTAAAAAACAGATATGCCTAAAAATTGTTCTGGGTTTGGAATGGATCTGCATTGGTGTGGTCTTTTACAGCCCCAAGCACTCTGACATAGTTCTTTCTTGGCACAAAGAAAAGGGACTGGAACCCTGCTTCCTGCCAGCTTGCTCCAGGCCACTTTCAGCCAGCCAGCTTGGTGGCTCCTGGCCTCCCTGGCCTGTGGTTCTTGTTGGAGCCTGCTTGCCTAGGTCTGGCTCCTCTCCCAGAATTCCCATGCAGTCTGGATTTGTCCTTGCAGCCCGGCTTGGATAAAGCTGTCCAGTAGTCCCCGCCCTCACCTCTGCCTATCTCTGGGAGGTAGACTGCCTTCCTGGCCCATTTGTAAGCATTCTTTGTATCCGTGCTGTTTGACACATACCTCTCAGCCTGGAGCTATGCTCCTGCCACAAGACAGGAGCTGGAGTGACAGTGTGTTGATTTCGGAGACTTGTGCATCTGCTTGTGGTTACTGTCTTCAAGAGAAGAATAACCCAGCTGGTTCTAGGGAGGGGATGAGACCTGTGGAGCTGCCCCAGGCAAACAGTCTACATCAGGACTTCGCAGTTATGAGGAACGGTGCATTATTGCTCCTTTACATCGCGGAGCTTTGGGTGTTTTGTTACGAAGCAATAGCTGACTGGTGATGTGAATACAAAGCAGCACCCAGATCCCACCCTGTCCCTGACCCAGACCTAGAGTGGAATTACTATGAATTCTCATTTGCAGCTTCATTGTTGGGCCAGCAGCAGCAGCACCCTGTCTGGTACTGGGGAGAGGGGGGTGTGGGGGACAAATGGAGTTTAGGGAGCAATCTACAGCTCTCACCCACAACTCCATGATCTCTCTCCTGTTTCACAGAGCCGGGGGTGGAGGAGACAGGATGAGACTTAGAGATATCTCCCACGCTAGGGACAGTGGGGGAACAGCATTGGAATGTTCATGTCTCTGGAACTCTAGGCTTCTCTGTGAGTCACAGAGCCACGCTTTCCACATTCTTCCAACTGCCCTGACACTCTTTGCCAGCTCTTGGGGGCTCTTCTTTCAAGCTCATGTAACTTTCTCCCCAGGAAGTCATGATCTGGAGCGGGCTCCAGCTTGTGCCTTGGTGAGCTGACACTCGGCACTGCTAGCACTTCTCATATGTTATGTTTGCGGTGTGAGGGTTTTATCTTTAGCCATTGTATAAGATTCTGGGGGGGGATGGGACGGGGATGGGTCCTATACAGACACACAGAAATGGATACAGAACCAGCGGTAAACAATGAGAATTGGCTCAGGCAGTCAAGGTTACGGTTTGTCTTAGAAATATCTCCCACAGGCTCATCCACATTTTCATAGCTTGGGCCCTAGTTAGTAGCTGTATTTTGAAGGCCCTATTAAAAATAAAAGTGGGGCCGAGAGACGGCTCAGTGGTTAAGAGTGAGTAATACCGTCAGGCTTTGGTGGCGCACACCTTTAATCCCAGCACTCGGGAGGCAGAGGCAGGTGGGTCTCTCTGTGAATTCGAGGCCAGCCTGGAGGAGGAGGAGCCTGGTTGGTGGAACCTGTCACTAGGAGTTGGCCTTTGAAGGTGATACCTAATCCCCAGCCCTTGCTGAAGCTTCAGCTTCCTCCTCTACCAGGATGGAGTACCCGCATGCTTCCACCACCGTGATTTGCCTCTGTGTAGTCCTTGTAAGGATGGACTGAGAAATCCCGGAAACCGGGAGCCCAAATCAATCATTTCTTCCTAAGGCTGCAAGGTAATTTATAAAGTTACGGAGGCTGAAAAGTCTCCAAATGTGCCACCTCAGCCCGAGGACCAGGAAGGTGATTCAGTATGAGTCAGGACTTCCACTGTGGAAGGGCAAGAGAAGGCAGTGTAGGAAACTGGCCAGGTGGTGGTGGCGCACGCCTTTAATCCCAGCACTCAGGAGGCAGAGGCAGGTGAATCTCTGTGAGTTCGAGACCAGCCTGGTCTACAAGAGCTAGTTCCAGGACAGCCTCCAAAGCCACAGAGAAACCCGGTCTCCAAAAACTAAAAAAGAGATCCTCATTTTTTAAAATAATTTTTTTGGGGTCTGGAAACTAAATTTGGGTCCCTGGTATTACTCACTTTTTTTTTCTTCGAACAGGGTTTCTCTGTGTAGCTTTGGAGTCTATCCTGGCACTCGCTCTGGAGACCAGGCTGGACTC